AAAAAAACAGGTATATTTCTTAAAAGAAACATTTTCGAATATGTCTGGAAGATTTTTAGCAGCTTTCGGAAATTTCCGGAAACTTGTCCACCGACACTTTTGTAATTCGTTGATTGCTTATATCATTAACAAAATAATACATGGTTTTTTGAGAGATATGAATCCCCGGGTAGGAATCTTTCTTCTCTGGTTGAACTCGAGTGCAGCTCACCCGTGAGGTCTCAAGTTCCTCACCGCTCGAAGAGGAAGTCATATTTCCGCGCATCCAGTCACTATGCTATATTTATATCATGGCTAAACTGGTCCGCGGTGGAAAGCATGATTGTGGTTGGTTTCCCAAGCTGTCCGAATTCTGGAATACGATGCGCTAAGATTGACCGCTCAAAAATTGGCCATTTCTGAGGTACATTGTGCCTCTGTTTGAAAACGAGTCTCCGTGAAAAAATCTTTCCTATGAAAATGAACTTTAGGCGGAACTCATTTTTATAGTACGCTGGGCAAAACTGTTCTGGATCAACGTTTTATGACAAGAGAAAATGGCAAGCTCCTGGTAGGCGAGCCCCGAGAAAGGTCCGAAAACGTTCCTAAAAGCAAAAATAGCACTGTTTGAGGTTCTCGGCCGATCACGCTTTAAGACAATAGTATCTTGTGTAATTGTGGCTTGCGCGAAGCGCGAGCTACAGGCAGCCATATTCAAAACAGGCGGAAGACTGGTCTAGTGGCAAGATCAGTTTAAAGACTAGTGGCAAGATCAATCTCTTAAGACAGTATCGTATTTCAGTGGCCAAATAAAGTTGTAAGTCTTTCTTATGCTTTCTCGCCAAAATCGTGCCCAAAAATCCACCAGCACGTAAAGAGTTTCTTCGCAAAATAACACTCTAAATGTGACTCTTAATTCTCAGAAATCACGTGATTTTACATACTTTTGTGACTCTGTTACCAAATTTGGACAAGGTGTAACGCAAGCCTTTCTTGCGTGATCCATATAAAAATGAGTTTCCGTATGTGGAATTCAGTAGAGTCTAAGACAATCACAAAATTAGTCGTCTCACTTGGTTTGTTTTAATTTTTTTTTTTTACAACGTCGATCCAGAACAGTTTTGACCAGCGTATTATGAATAGTTTCGCATGAAGAATCAGTTAGACACAGAGGCAAAAGGCAACCAGGAAATGGCCTATTAATTTCGGCGAATATTAATTGCTTTTTCAATTTATTGCAGAAATCATCATTTGNAAGCCTTTCTTGCGTGATCCATATAAAAATAAGTTTCCATGTGTGGAATTTAGTAGAGTTTAAGACAATCCCAAAATTAGTCGTGTCACTTTGTTTGTTTTAATTTTTTGTGGTAAAACGTCGATCCAGAACAGTTTTGTCCAGCGTACTAATTATTCTTATGTGATTTTTTTTTGTAAATCAACCCACTTTGGATTCAAACTTTGTCACAAATGTCAGAAAATGAGCAGAATGTCTTGCTAAAGATGTGAACAATATGACAATGCTAAAACTTCCACTGAATTGGAGGAGCGTCAAAATTTAAAACCTTGAAATGGGCGGAGCACGCTGTCGACAGATGCATACCATGGAAACTGAGTCATAAAATTTGGTCGATATGTTGTGGAACTGAGTGGAAACTAAGTATATGCAGCCACAGTTCCTAAAACATATAAAAACAGCAATGTGGAGGGAAATATGTTGTCGTCCCCTAGAGGATATATTGGCGTATTGGTGCAATAAGGGTCAGAATAAACATTCAAATGGAGAAATAAATTTGTGTTCAAAAATAGACAATGTCAATTTGATCCACCAAATCGGCAGGCTTCAAATATTTAATTCTTTCTAACGAAGTCAAGTAGTCCATTTGCCATCTATAACTGCAACAAGTTAGCAACTGGAAAGTACCTGAAATTCATAAGTTTTTCCTGCCTTTAGATCGCCAAACTGGTGTTCCATTTTCTTTGTAATAAGAGTCTCGGTTTCTGAAGAATCATCTGTTCTAATGTATGTCACGTGATAAACTTTGATGATTCCGTTCTTTTGTTCCAGTTTCCATGATACAACAACTGTGTCCTTCGGTTGCTCGACAGCGACTTCAGGTTTACCAGGGACTGTAAAATAAAATGTAAACTCTATGAAGGAAATATTTTGGCAGTACTAGATCCACCAGGGAATTTATTTAATTAAAGAAAGTATACGCGTATGTACGTCGTACAAGTACAGCAAGTTACCAAAAGTTGGCGGTAACCCATTGTGATGGAAAGTCAAGACGCCGTACTTAACAGTAGTATCTCGGAGGAATCTAACCACGATGAAACGGTACATTCGAAAGTATTCTGTAGCGCGAACTCACCTGTTCCCAAAGTCCTCAACGTGATAGGCGAGAAATTTCCTCCAACTCCATGTTTTCTTTTAGCTACCTCACTCACTCTGTTTTTGGCGTAGACTTTAAAAGTGTAGTTGATAAATGCAATGAGGTTTGTTACAGTCACTTGGGTCACGTTCAGTCCCTCTCTGCATGGCTCGTACTTGACATCACTACTACAAGGTTTCTCAACACAGTTCTTTTCGTCCTCAATGTTACATGACTTACGACATTCGACCTCATAAAACACGTGACTAGAATCTCCCGTGACTAATGGAGAGCGCCATCTTATCTCAACTGTACTTTGGTTGACGAATGTAGCGTTGGCGTTCCTTGGCGCTGATGGTAAAACTGAAATTCATAAATACACAATTTATCATGCGGCAGAGAAGATGCGAACAAGAAAGGATAAACAAAACCACTTCACTGAACTCCCGTATCTCGAAATTGACATTTGCAGATTCCAATTATAAACTAAAAGAAGGAAACCAATGAGGAAACAATCCCCAGAATTTGTTGACATTGGCTAGCATTGCTGTAGGTTGTTTCATACCTGAGCAATTAAGTCCATTTTCGTCATTGTACATTCCAACTGGACATGCTAGGGTGGGAAGAGAAACGTTACAAGCTAACAAATTTACCAAGCACTGAAGCATACTGAGCAAGGCCTAGCGTACAGAAATATGATGACATGGTCATGAAGGTCGCCCTGAAAATTCCCGACCCCTTTGCAAAAACGTTTTTGCAATGTTGTCGATTTTATATACTATCATACACCATCACTAGTGTCCCGGAATAAAGTCTGACGTCTCTCCGTAGTTTTATTTAATTCCTGGTAACCATCCGGTGTTATCCCAAGACACATTCATTGTAGATTTTCATTTCCAGTTACAATTGGCGAATTTAATTTTGAGCGATGCATGTTTGAGCCTGGTGGGAACCTAAAGGCCAGGAGCCTATCCAACCTGGCTAAAATGAGAGGCAAAAGCAACAAGGCGATTCGGGGGGCGCTCCAAACGTAATCTGGGTCTTCTGGAGCTGATCGCAGCCAGTCCTAGGTGCCCTAGCATAGCACTCCCCACTTTAGTAGTACTACGCTTTACCAATTGAGCTATTGAAATTTCCAACTAGTTATCAATATTCTTAGCAGATCATTTGCTTTATCATTACTTGCGGTTAGACTGTGTTGTATTATTGAGTCGCCATTTCCTTTTACTATGCGTTTAGTAAGGAGCTTCTTGTGAATTTGTCGTGTAGAGTGAAAACCGATTCGTTGGAAATCCCCTACACTTACGCTTTCTTAGTATCGTAAACAGAACGTTTCCGCATGGATTCTGAAACAGGGTGGCCAGGTAGGTACCTCCATTGGGAAATGAGTTCTTTTCTAGAGCGAAGATTTCGTGTTGTTTGGGAACATTAATAGGGTCATTCAATAAAAGCGTCTATGGGCGGTACAGTGTCAAAATAACGAAACATAACTTCGAGTTCCCTTTCCGCATGTCCTGAGCACTAATCCCCAAAATAATAAAACCGGACAACCTAAAAACTAGTGACTCTGACCCTGTTCTGCTTCGTTAAGTACAATGCATGACTTCTGGCGTACCTTGACATTTTCCTTCCACATTCTGCATGTCTTCCTTACAGACGCATCTTCCTTGAAGTCCACTCCTGTTCCAACTACCATTGCTTTGACAATAGACGAACAAACTGCCCGGTACACGAACCGTATTTTTGTCACAACTTCCTTCCACTCGAATGGGTTTCGAATGATTTGCTGGAGCTACAGTTCTCGGTAGCATCATCAAGGAGTTGCTGAGTGTTTCGTCTGGACAAACGTTATAAGTAACCTTGACCGAGAACATAGTACTGCAAGCTCCATAATTATGAAAGGCTAATATAACATACTTTTCTTTAACAAGGACACCTATTGTTTCGGAAAATCTCTTATTGGTAGCCTGTCTAATTACTGCCGTTTTTTCATACGCCATCCTGTTACTGAGAGGGTCAGGGTATTGAGATTTATCTCCAATAAGCTGGTTTGAGTGGTTAATGTACATGTCAAAAGCATCATTGCAAAAAGATCCTGCATCGCTACCCAAGGTAGAACAACTTCTGATGAAGTAGTCGACAGTGACGTCGATCCTGTTAGCGTCCCTAATTGAGATTTGGTCGCTTATCAACCAATTGTCTGGATGGGGATTTGACAGTGATAAGCCGACATCACATGCTACATATCGTGTAGGATTAGTGTTCCTCGTCCACTGCAGAAATGAACAGTCATAAAAATACATCAATAAAGCATAAATGAACATCAGGTAATTCTCTGCTTTATAGAAGCCTATAGACTGTAGCTTATCACTGTCAGTCAGTTGATAGCAAGTCGCTCTTTATGCAAGTCAGCGGTAACCTACCCCTCTAATGCCATTTCCCGGTGTCTTCTTCTTTTCCCAATGCCATCCACTGACTGTTTGTGGTTCGTTCACTAGTGTCACTTGCCTTGATGACGCCCAAGCTACAAACGTCAAGGCAGTAAATGCAGCAACCCAAAAATATTCCATGCACAGTGTATAGTAGCTTTCCAAGCGCGTTATATCTAAATGAATAAAATATTAATGTAGACGAGTCAATGAAACTAAGCTTTTATTTGCAAAAACATGGGGTTGACCATGGTGCTACTTCTTCCATGCACTAGTAATCATTAACCGTTTTTGGACATTTAATTAGTGCCCACTGTAATCGAACTTCGGCCTCTTTGAAGGTGTCGTGGTTTGGTCTTCCTAGCAACAACAGCGCATACAATATATTTTTATGGCATTTTACAGATATCGATATAAATAAGTAATTGATCTTAAATATTTTCAGCCTGAAATAGCAAATAACCATAATGCGTGCGGAACCAGGTAGCCACTTGTTTCAAATACTACATTAAAGCAAACTGTTAGTCGCTCACCCTGCGGAGCAAGAATTCCCGTATGAACGACAAGATTTCCGCTTGTTCGCCCCAACGCCCCCGCCCCTATAATTTTCGCAGGGCTAAAAGGCGAGTTCGCTCATACGCGAACACTTGCTACGCAGGCAATCAGTTGGCAACATGGAACGAATTTACGGAAACAACAACGACCGTGCATAAAAATAAATAAATAAATAAATACATAAATACATAAATAAATAAATTACGCACTTCATGTTTTTTTTGTTTTCTGACGTTCGTTAGCCTGCGTTACACACGGAAATTTAACAGTAGCGCATGCTAAAATTCGTCGACCGTATCGGTATTCAAAAAGAGATGAATGTTTTTGCTTGCCGGGACCACCGAGATCTGATGTTAACTTAGTCAAATCAGACCCGTCTACTGTTTTTTTACTGTACTGAGAACTTTTATGTTGAATTTCAACAAGTTCTTGACTTTCAGTTCAATTTACTGTACGTAGGTAAACTAAAATATAAAATGGAAGAAAAGCGGCTTACAGTTCAAGAAACAGTTGGACAACGTTTCAGGATCTCTGCAAACGTTGCTAGTCGTGTCCAGGGTTCGTGTACTTTCGCAGACGCTACCTATACTACAATCGTGGACAAAAGTCCTTGTGTTAGAACTGAAGTATGAAGAAAACGCTGCTATATCCTTTATAAACGGGTTGCTGTCCCCCCTGCCCTCCAACACAATGTTGAAAATCAGCTGAAATTGCACGTACTAGTTTTCAACATTGTATGGGGGGTGGGGGGCGAGGTTAGGCAGGTGAAGTTGTATTCGCGCCTGGCGTGTACGCAAAAGCGCCAAAAGTGCAAATTTGTCCTACGACTTTTGTCCATGATTGTAGGTTGATTAGCGCGTGATAAGTTTGCGTGACCACCCTGGAGAACAGAACAAA